AGGTATTCTTTGTGCCCTAAATATTCTGCAGGTACAAGTAGAATTGGTATAATCCACTTGGTGCAGGTATATGCCGTCACCACCTCTCCATATTTCCGATATAACTGAACCTGTGATTCCAGGGCGAAGCAAATTCTGCTGGTTATCCCTGTATTCGAATCCACGTATTCAACCACCTGACCACTTTGCCTTATTATGCGCATAACATCTGATCTCAAAGGCATGGCTTCCAAAATAACTTTAAACTACATCACTTACCTGGTCTCACATCCTTACGTAAATTATGCACATCTGTGCTCGTCAAAATTTTATTAAAACTCTCCTCAGCATATTCCAAAACATCAGCAACCTCAGATGTAGTCTTCATAACTGGTGCAATATTCTCCTTTTCATCCCCGGACAGGCTTCTAAAATATGGATCACCTATCATAAGACTTCTTCCACATCTGTGATTGTGAGCTGTTTTCGCGGAAGAAATGATAAACTCGTCCTCCTTGTAGCGTATACGAAAGCCAGATTGTCAACCGGTGTATTTTGCACTGCAGAAATAAATAATAGAATTCTTACGGTTTGACGCGTAAACCTGAACCTCTAGTTTTTCGCTTCATGCTATATGTACAACGAAAGACTACTAATTTGTACTTCAAATCCTGAGATTCATGGTCCCGTATGCACTTTTTCATTACATAATGTGTATGAGTTGCCTAGGAATACTCTGTCATACATATATACATATATTACTGATTCCAGCTGACTTAGAGCATCTTCTACTTGAACCCAACTGGTTTACCGGTGACTAAACATAATTCCGTCAAAAAGGTTTTTGATATCCACTGATATAAGAAGGGCAGGTTGGTCGCCATTGTCTCCAAGTGCCAATGCGTCCATTCGGTATCACTGTAAATGAAAACAGAAGCTTTTGAGTTAAAAATTCACGAATAGCCAACAGAGTACAGTAAGCAACTTGAAATTAATATTGACTTGGAAACTGTAGCGGAAAAAATATATAAATTCCTTACCACAATTACCGTTTTTGAAGGTTCCTGATTACAGCCACAAACATTTACTGAAACACTCGTGAACGACAAATATGGACACAAGTGATGAAACGAAGCTCTACAAAAATCATTGAGACGCCACAAACAGGAGGATTTTAGGTGCACCCTATAATTTTCACATGAAACACATTCTCAAGCATCCTCCTGCACCATAACTGCCATCAGGCCTAGAGGCAGCTTTTGACGACTATTCTTAACAAAATCAATACAGTTCAAGCCAAACAGAAACCAGAATCACGTCAAATGCAGCTACCTAGATCTAACGGAACAAATCAGCCAAACTGAAATCAACTAGACCGCGCAAATGTCCTCAAGGTAAAGCTGGAGGCGCCACTTCAAACAGGGGATATGCCTTATCAACGCCCCATTGCATTTACCTATTTCATTACACTTTAATGATTCACCTTAGCACCTTTACTTTTCTAAAACAGCTTGTTATCCCTTGTAAACGTTGTACTTACCTCAATATTGGTTGGTTATCGTATGCTTACAACTACGGGTTGAGAACGAAACGAAGTCGATTTTCCCGCGCAACCTGGAGGACTACTGTACAATTCAATAATTATACGACATGGGTCAGACAATGAGTGTATTTATATATATATCAAATATTTAGCCGTTCAAACATTATTAGCTTGTAGACAATTTTCTATATGTCATTATATCATACTTGATCGCGCCTGTAAAATGGCATGCATTTTCATGTGAATTTATGTTTATGTCAAAATATACATTATTATTTTAGGAAATTCAGTGAACTCAAGTGTCCTCATGACTTATTATCCCACGACGCTTCTTGAAAAATGAATATGACTGACAAGCATCATCCCGTACTTGTTTCACGACAATTTACACTTAATTCCATTATGTGTAAATTTCGTTTTGATAAAGTCTTACAGTGTTATACAGTAATGTTTACTGATAACGTTTCGAGCACAATTTATTGCTGATAATCATATCATAATAGACTAAATCAAGCACGCTACCATCCGAGGACTTTCCAGTATGTGTTTTACGAACCTTAGAAACTCTCATTCCTAGTGCAACTGCACCCTTCACGAGGTCCTATCTCAGGGCCATGGTGTCCATCGGCCAGTCAGGAAAACTGTTGAAAGCCTCAGACCATCTACTAGTATGAGACCGGATGGCTTCAGTAATTCTCAATGACAGTGAGTGTAATATTCTTTTCCTACTTCTTAAAATCTTCTGAATATCTCTGGACAATGGCACCTACACAAATAAATCGAAACCTAGATTTATAATTGAAAATACGAACCTGGTGATAGAATATACTCCGAGAGCTAAAGAATTATCAGTATAATTCCAACCATCCCGCCGGTTGCGTGGAAACTTCTTAGATATCAAACATCTTACGATTTATCTGATTTATTTCAAAAGGTATGGAAAAGAATTTAACAAAAATAAGTCTCACATACATATCCAATTGATATTGCAACCACATTTTCAAACTGAGAAAAATAACAATCCGGATATTAGAGGGACGATAACAAGAAGTTCAGCAGAGATATCCTTTTCGATGATTTCATTCTCATAAGCTGTACAATCGCATTTATGTACATTAGTTTACATGGATACAATTATTATTTATTTAGTTCTACATTGTAACGAAGGAGATAATAATTTTCAACTTGATATGAAAGTGTGAAGGTACGAATACGGATTAAAAAAGGCTTAGAGACAAGATTACATAGGACTGGAAAACAGTTATAACGTATGCGCAATTAATATTTAATAACTTGAGAAATAATTTTAAAGGCAAATGAAAGGTGACAATTGTTTTAACTTGATATGAATTACAAGAGGCTTAGAAAGAAAAATTACACAGGGATAGAACGAATTACAAGTGTGAACAAACATAAATGCGATTGTACAGCTTTTGAGAGTGAAATCATCGAAAGGGTATCTTCGCTTAATCTCTTGTCATTTTTCAAGTGAATTGCGACTATTCATGAGTTAGGTATGCTTATCATTTTTCTCCTCTTGCTTATATGAATGGTATTGTAAATTTTATCTCGTAGTGCTAGCTTTGACAGTCTCACTCATTTGTTGTTCGTGACCTACTGCCTAACCAGTCGAAGTTATTTCTAAGCGACGTGGTAAGAGTAACTGAAGTTGGATCTGTGTTGTCTCATCCCATCAGATTACATCAGGGTTTGTCCTTGGCATTGTCCTGGGTCCTTTCCTATTTCTAGCCTACAATAAAATATTTTCTAATTACTGCACGTCGTATGAACCATTTCTACATTCTAGCAGCCTTAGAGTAATTTACTCCAGTTACATGCATGAGTCAAGTGATTCGATAAGTAAATAAGTCCTGAACTAAATAGTCTTACATCATCGTATGCTGAATTGCGTCTGTGGTTCAACATTGACAAATAAGGTTGGATTTGCATCGGTAAGAGTTGTTTAAACATAATTCGTGAATTAAATCGACAAAAGCTACCAAAACGTAACTCAGTCATAGATCTAGGTAATCTTACCTGAAATGCATGCAATTTTTAGGAATGCGACACTCAGGTCATTGATCGTTATCTGAAGATAAGGGTTGTAAAGATCTAAATGATAAACAAATGCCTTCACTCCTACCATCTACATGCCTTCTCAGCTTCTGCCAAGTTTCTACCCCATGGGCACTGCAGTAATTCGTTAGATATTTTCATAATTATATATATTTCACATAAATTAAGCATTTACATGATTAACATACCGTTTGTACAGACATAAACATATTTGACAAGTGCAATTTGAAATGGAACACTGTTTTTTGGCATTAAAAATTGGAAAAATGGAAAAAATAACCTCTAGAAACTTTGTTAGAATAGATTGCAATATATTGGTTCAAGTCTAAATTATAATGTATAATATACTTATAGTCAGTCAAATTCATGCGGTAGCATATCCTACAGGTCCTAATCTTTGAGATCTTTGAGGTCACTCTTCACTGAAATATCACTTACCTACCTCGCAATAATCTTTTTATTTGCGCACTATTATACTCTATTCGATCTTAACTACCTAGGCCTTTATTGAAGTTAAAACTTGCTCTTTGTTCATATTTGTTGCTTGCCCAAAGTCTGGTTGTTTTGATTAAAAAAAACAACACCAATCTTTAAACAAAGCTATATTTTCATTGAAAACATCATAGTTTTCATGCTTAGGCCTATATGATTGGCATTACACATTGCAAATGTATACTATTATTCCAAAGAATCTTCAGTTCCTTCTTGTATATATTTTGTAAATGCACTTTCAATAATGTATTATCCATAATTGTATTTGATACCATTTTTCAGATTCCCAAGTCGTTCTTCTCTTCCTAAAATAGCATTCAATCACGTG